CATAGCATTTCCACTTGTCTGGGATGTAGAAAGGCTCAAAGATGTGAGGGAAAGGAGTGTCATAGCCACATACTCTTGAAATAGGCGCTTCTAAATTCAAAAAGCATTCCTCCTATTAACAGAAGTACAGAATAAATGTTAGTGAGGCCATTATTTTCAAGAGTCTTGCATCACAAATTGAGGTCGAATGAACTTTGCCAGACTGACAGTCCTGGAAACTCAAACCTTCTATTTATATCACAGCATAAGTAGTCCAGAGCAGAACAGTGCTTCCTTTTGCCCAAAGGTCCATATTAAAATAACAACTTGTATTAATGTCATTTTCATTTTCTACATGTGTGCTGCATTAAATCATAGGCAGGTTATATTTAGTACATCTGCTATACATCCAGACAAGTGCTACCAAGAAACAAATATTTTAGGAACAAAGGAGTAAGAGTTTCTTTCCTGTGCCACTTTTAAGCATATAGAAAAATTATATAATCTAAGAGTGTGTATTATTTTTTGGATACATGAACATCGTATTCAAACTTCTTTGAACCCTTAGATTATTAAGAGTCTGTCTGAGAAGCATTAAGCAGTTATGGAAATTATGAATTTGAACTCCAGTGGATTTGCATATCCAACCCTTGAGTCAAATCCATGCTCTACACAAAACCCCACAACTTGTGTTCTGTTTGGAGATCAGATTTGGCAATGACTGTGAGAGTTTCATTACTCAACCTACTAGGGCACAAAAGATTACAAATACACCATATTAATCTGAAAGTAACATGTGGAAATGTGTGTAATGTTACCAGCTTTAATAACCAAATAAATAGTGGGGTTTCAATCTTCTGACTCTCAAGTACCAGAGTGATGGCATGGACTGTGAAAATCTGCAACAAGTAGATACAGAAGTAACTTTGCCAGATCAAACTGATGTTGATGCTAATTATCAGCTCCTTCTCCCTGTATCTTTAGTACATATATTTGCTTTCCAGAGCAGATAAATGAAGAGACAAAACATGTCTCCTCCTGGCCTCTCCTTTATGGACTGCAGCAACTGAGGCGTCCTGGCCAACTTCCCCTGTCCTTGGCTGAGCAAAATGGAAGGTGGAGGATTATCTACCAGTCCTTTTCCACCAGGCCCACAAGGAAAACAGTCAAAGAACTACGCTTTCCTGCAGCAAAGTGCTAAGTGTTTTCTCAGACTGACGAATGGCTTTAAATGCACGTTACTTTGCAGTCCGTGGCAGCCTAACTCTAACTTACTGTGCTTTCTATACATCACGACATCTGGCAGCATGGAAGGTACTCATAACACACTGAGATTATAACCTTCTGCTCCAGCTACCACTTTGGTGCATTGTGAAGTGGCGTATTTCTGGAAGATAGATGGAAGTAAAAAGTCCAAGATTTTGTGTCATTGCATACAGTGCCATTACATTTAATAGTCAACTAATTCACCTAGAAAACTTCAGAGTCTGAACAGGTCTGAGGTAAAAATATATGCAAACAATATAAAGATTTTTTGAGCTCCACTTTCAGGTGCTCCTTTGTTTTTCTTTGTAAAGTGGAAGATTCACATTAGTACAAAGTGCTGGGAAGTGGAGTGTATTAAGTCCTTTACCTGTCCATGAGGTAGATCATGATGTCCTACCCCAACCTGCTAGCAAGGATATTTTCGATACTAATCAGTCCTTGGTTCCCATGTTGTGACTGCCCAATAAGACAAAGCAATAGCTTTCGGACCATCCCACAGACCACCTGTGAAATTGCATTACACCAAAACACACAAGTATATTCTAGACCCACAGCCTTCCAGTCCTGCACTGCTGTTTCAGAGTACCCGACACAGGACCACTACCTAGGAGAGACCTTTGGCTTACATCATAAACAGCTCTGCGGTAACAGCTCATCCCAAATGAAGCTTGGAGAGAAAGTTCATTAGTTTCACTGAAAATATTTACTGCAACATTCCCCATACACTGGGCATCCGTGCAGAGAGCAGCACTGCACCTTCAGCAGCCCGAGCAGCAGGGAAATGTCAGCTGTGACTGGCAGGCGGGGTGCTATGCTCCCCTGAATGAGCCCCCAAGCTCAGCTGTAAATATAAATCTCAGCTGGGAAACCCAAGCTATATAGAATAGTTGCAAGCATGCATATTTGCTAATGCTATTGGTATTATATTTAATTCAGAATAAAAATTAAGTCATAAGACTTTCCAAAACTCCACTCAATATGTTTTTTCCTCAGGGAGAACCCAAAACAGCTGTTACAAGCACCCCTTCTGGGGTTTTCAATCTCAGCACTTGCTTTCAGTTTGAGCGTACACATTTTGCTTCAAAACTTGTACAGCTTCCAGAGAGTCATGTGGATTCCCTTGCCTCAGAGAGGAATTCAGAGAGTGAAGCTGAGATGAGCAGTGTTGTACTGTCAGATACAATCCAAGAATGACAACCCAAGGAAGGTGGAGAACTCTTCACTCTGAGCTACTCTGTGCGTGTATGTGTATATACAAAATCACTCTTACTATTATTTTTCTGGAGGTAAGGGTGTGTGCAGATTTTTCACTAAGTTATTGCACTGTATGAGTAAAATACTGCAGAGGCAGAAAAAACAGACCCAAACCACCAGTCAAATCCATGAGGGAAACTCCACTTACACATTATCTGACTGAAGTCAACACAATTTCACAAAGGTTCTCTCTCAAGTGGCTCTGACTGCAACAGTGTCACACACAGAATTTCACACTGTAACAGTTTACCATGGAAAAAGTAATCTTCCTAGCAAACCAATAAAATTTGTATAACAATACACTGAATAAAGTGCTTACGTAAGGTAAGTGCTTTATAAGGTATAAAACCTTATAAAGGTTTTTAGAGTACCATCATAGAATCATAGAGTGGTTTGGGTTGGAAGGGACCGCCATCTAGTCCACCCACCCATTGTAAGATTATCTTACAATGTATTTTTTGCCTTACCGGCCATACCTAAAGTCATAGGTAAATCCTATACACATGTATATGTTATTATGCAGAGGATTGTTAGATTATTGATGCATTCATTTTACAGATGCTGGTTTGGGTCAGGTGATGTGCTGGTCATGGAACTTACTGGAGTAAGCCTCTCAATGTCAATGACCACTGTAACAACAGAAATGCGGCAGACCTAGCAAAACGAAGATGATTCAGTTGACATTACTTAATTTGCAGATTTACGCACAATATTTGCACAGATATTGATAAGAGCAGTTTGCAAAGAATAAAAGCTTTTAAGATTTTTTTTGAACAGAGTGGAAATAAAATCATAATCCAGAAGGTGGAGTATAAAGTTATCATCAGAATAAGGTATTTGAAAACAATCAAGAAAATGCACTTTTACTTTACAATGTAGAAGTATTGTAAAGAGACAAGAGTCTTGATCTTGCTAAGAGCTTGGCAAACACTTGACCTTGGCATCATGATTCTCATTCAAAATGTAATAATACTTATGACTTTCACCATGCTCACAGTAGCTAGATTTACTCACAGAATCACAGTGATACTGCTGTAATATGCTAAGTATTTGGTCCTCCAAAAAAAAAAAAAAATTCACAAATCCACACATTTTACACATAAGCAGTCATAGAAAACAAGCTTACGGAAATATCTTAATAAGATGACTTAGAGGGAAAAGGTGTCTTTTCTTTTTACAAACATGTAAGGTGGTTCAATAGAAGATACTACTACTTTACCAGCTGTGCTTTGGATGCATCTAGGTATGCAGCAAGTCTTTTGTAGAACGGAGGTTTTTGCTTATAATGGTCCATAATTAGGTTTGGAGCCAGTTTTGTTTAAAATACAACTGACAATTTTTATCCATTCATGGGGTTTTGATTTATCTCTGACATCAGTTCTAATTTATGGGACAATATATTCAGTTGTGTCCTTTAAGTCTAAATCAAACCAAACTTTTTCACTAAGTTACAGAATATGAAACTGCCTGCTTGATGGCATTAACTTAATAAAAAGTAATGTGAGCAAATGAGATGACATTCTTCATTAGATGGCATTACACTTTGAAAAAACAGTGTTAGCAAGGTTTATATCCTAATACAAAAAAATTATATAGTCTATGGATATATTCCTAACTCATCTTCCCTTTTGAGCTTGAAGAGCACTTAACGCAGCCCATCAAATAGCCTGTCTTTTACAGATTCTTGTTCACACTTGCTGCTAAAAGTTAGACTGTAGGAGAAACAAGAGTCCACCTCATCCTGAATATGATACTGCCACATCTGCTGTACATATTGCTGTGCCAGAATTTTTGCACCTGTGCAGCCACACTGTAGAGAAACACTACTGAGAATATTAAATACACAACGTCCAGCTCTTTTTAAGACTAATTAGCAGACATCCATTGTACAAGCCTATCAGAACAAGTCTAACACAGTATTTAAGAGTGGTAGAAGATCAAAATTTTAAATTAAGTGGATTTACTCCATACTACTTGGGCATATAAAGGCTGGTACTGGCCCAAAGCGCTCTTGTACGATATAGGAATGCAAGTTTACAGCCTTCAATAAGTCCCTGCATATTTCAAACAGGCTGTTTAAACAATCTGACATCTTTCAAGGAAAGACCTTAAGGAAAAACTTAAATGGTTTTGAAAGTAAAGTAGTAGGCATGGGATTCTGATTCAGTGTAAAATATTTTAAATTCAGTCTTGAAAATCAGTATGAAAAAGTCATACTTATTTAGTAGGACATCTGCTAACTTCCAAAATTCAGCTGAAGTAAAAGCTTACAGTTTTGTTAGAAAAAGATGTTTATAAGGGAACAGATATAGTTATTAGCCTAATATATCCAAATTGTCTTAATTTAAAAAAATGCAGACAAAACAGTAAATCATTGTTCTTCCTGCTTCCTAACTGCAGAGGTCAAATTCTGGCCTCAGTTATTCAATATGACCTTTGCCAATTACCTTCATTTGCCTGAATTTCACTCAAAGCCTCCTGGAAAATACATTATATTCTATAGAGGCATTTTAATTGGTCACATTATTTCATCTTGACATTTGATGTTTAATACACATTTAGGAAGACTTTTCAAAACAACTTAAAAGCACAGGTCCCATAGATAGAAAAATC